TTTTTCTAAAAAGGTGAAATATATTTCCTAAATTTTATGGTCAAACATATGGTGAAATTTCACCCAAATTTTCATTCAAATAATATTTGCCAAGAATATTTGAAAATCTATGATCAAACACTAGCTTTATTTACACGTTATGATGAAAAAATAACTAACAATTGTCACTATCTCGTTTTGAATAACTTTCATGTTTCAACAATCTGGCTGAATCTAAGCAGATAATTATGCTGTTATATTTAAAGACCTTGGGATGAGAATATACATAAAGATTTTAGACCATTTTTCCAAAGAAAACAAAAAAATAGAATAATTTATGTTTAATATAAGGTAAAAGGAGATTTACATGTAACTATTGGTTTCATATATTTCTTTTGAGGAATTTCTTTTTTTTTAAAAAAACGTAAAATAAGTTGTCATTATGCCAAAATATAATGTCATCAAAAGAAAAAATCTATAAAAGCAAATATAATTAATGACAAATAAAAAAAAAATAGCATGAATCATATTAAGGAAATTATTAAGGTTTTTTTTATAGTTTAAAACAAGTGAATTATTTAAAGATTAAAAGAATTATTGAGATTTATTTTTATAATCACTTTTTATTTTTTGAGATTCTTAATTACTTTACATAGGAAAATAGTTTGAGAATGATCAAAAGAGTAGTGAAAAGTAGCATTTTATTTATGCCTTAAAATATTCTTCTTAAGAGATATGTCGGATCTTAACAATTCACTTAACATAAACTAGAGGAGTAATATATATTTTAAAATACTAAATGTTTTTAACAAGTTTTATGCAAATAATAATGTCAATTCAAATTAAACATGAACTGAATTTTTTTACACCAAATCAAGTTTAACAAAAGCGCTTATCAATTTGATTGGATTTATTTTTACATAACGATGAAAAGTCTCATTTAATTTAGAGTGCTTTATTAGTTTCATTGAACACCCCTATTATGTTTGATTTTCCAGGGAAAATGTTTTCTCAAAAAATAATATTAAATATTCAAGTTATTATTATTCAAATCAATCAGATATTGATAAACATTGAAAAATATTTGCAAGTTATTGTTATTGCGGGTTTGAAGAAGTGGATCCTCAATTTCAAATATGAAATTAATTATTAGAAAAGCTGTCACGATCCAAATCGGGCCGCGACTGGCACCCACACTTACCCTCTTGTATGAGCGAACCAACCAATCTAAACCTTAACATTTCAATATAATATCAACAGAAAATAATGCGGAAGAATTAAACTCATTAATAAAATCAATAACTATTATTATCCCCAAAATCTGGAAGTCGTCATCACAAGAACATCTATGATCAAAGTACTAAACTAAGAGTATTCTAAAAAGCTAAAAATACATGAAAGCTAGTCCATGCCGGAACTTCAAGGCATCAAGACATGAAGAGGAAGATCCAGTCCAAGCTAGAAGCATTAGCTCACCCTGAAGATCCGATGTAGTGAAGACTGGCTAGAGTTACGGTTGAGTTGAAGATGACGGTACGTTTGCTGCACTCCACAAATAAACAAGAAGAAAACATAAAAGTAGGGGTCAGTACAAAACACGGGTACTGAGTAGATATCATCGGCCAACTCAAAATAGAAAACAGTATATACCAAGTAATATCATAAAATCAACGATGATACTTAACATGTAGCATTTACAATTACCATAACCCTTGGTTACAACACCAAGCTCATCAATGAGGACTCACGCCTCCTCATCATACTCATTTGGGATTTAGGTTCATTAGATTGAGTATATTAACATCTTTCAAGATTCATTCTCTTTATTCCTCTCGTGTCGGTACG